GTGAAATTGAAAACTTTTATTAACACTTCGATACCTTTACTGGTTAGCATTAGCATGAAGTTGGTTATATGTCAACCTTTATTCATTCGTATAAAATTCGGACTTTTGACAATTCCACTTTAGAAGTTTAATATCATTGTGCACATCGTTTTTGCTTTTGAGATATTCTTAGCCCTTGACCTAAATTCCGCCAAAAATATAGAATATAATTGATACATTATAATTTTTCTTCATTTTTTCTGCATACCGTTTCCAAAAATATTTACAGAATATCTGCGTCTGATAAAGAATTATTGCTTATCTGAGAGCGTTCCATCAAACAATGGCATTGCAATAGCGTAATATACACCAAGAAATGGTCCATGTTAATAGACCCTTGGAGTTTTATGGTGCTCAATATTTTAATCGTATATTGCATTGAAAGCCTGATAAACTATAACTTCCTCATCCATGGATCTTTTATCCCAAAATATTTTGATGGCAACATCGTGTTTATCATTGTAATTTCCTGAAATACATTTCAAACGAATTTTGAATTGGAATAAAAAATTAAGCTAATAACAAATTACCTTTCCATACAAGCGAAGTGATCTGCCTAACTCTTTTCCTTTTAAAAGTTTCAACCTGAGTACACTTGATCCAGTCAAATCCTGTTCACCAATATTAAAATATTCATCTACAGAATCCTTCGTCATAGATGGTACCAGATCGTCATCTGCGTTCTGTTCAAAATTTAATGTACCATATTTATTCTTATTGTAAGAAAAAAAGGTATAATTTTGCTTACCACTAGAACTAAAAGACCGCTAATTAATAGACAATGAATTAAGATGTTCATTGTAAAAGATTGATTTAAAAGTAGTTTGTTTCTTTATCGAGTCTCTCGAACACAATATATATTGTTAATCGACAATGCTTATCATTTTATATACGGCTCTCTAATGATGTTTCAGTCGAATTCTTTATAAAGAATTCACTAACGCAAGCGTTTTAAACAAAAATTTCATTTTGAATGGAAATTAATGGCAATTTTGTTTCTAAAACCATTTGGAATGTAAAGTCTGTTTTGGTGAACGTCATTAAATTGAAAAATAGAAGCAAATAGTGATATCGATCATTATTTTTTCAACTTCTTCTCTTCTCTATATAGTATTAACCGTGTTGAACTCCACACTGAGTAGACGTTATCACTTGAAATTTAGATCGGAGAAAATATTTTGCATTGAACATATGGTTTGATAACAGTGAAATTGATCTATAGTTTCGAATAAAACAAGCATGTCTTATTGTTTTTCGTTTGGTGTTTTGAACTCAAATTTTATTTTGATATTATTTAATTGGTAAGAAAAATAAGATTTGTCTTCATTATGAGCAAAATGATAAGACGGCACAACAACCATCTGAAAACCAATCACCTTGTATTGCGTGTTTATTTTTACTGATACTGTTGATCGCATCAATTATTATGACAATGATGCCATCGTAGTGGGGAACTGTTTGATCACTTGGAGCCAATAATTCACTGTCCCAAATATCCTCAAATACACCTCGAACATATTTATTTTTTAAATATTTACATTTTTTCTAGAAACACCAAATTATTTAATTGATTTTAATTCCAATTAGATTCATTAAATAATCAACTAACCATAATTTTTTGTCTAGCATTGGTCTTCCCTTTCTTCAGGTTTTCGAACAACGCTCGCCCTTCGGATATACGTATGAACGCTGGAATTGGTGACTTTTCATCCTTGATCATTTCCATCGGTACGCCGGCAAGAAACCAGATGGTATAGACAAGCGACTCAAGATCGTCTCTCGGATGTCGAGTCTTATTCGCAAAATAATTTGCAGACGCAAATAACGGTGTATTTCCCAAACTTTTCTCGCCATTCAATGAAGATTGATCAAAATCTAATTTAGTTAAAAATTACGCATCAACATTTTTTGAATAATATTCGAAAAAGATTTACCACCCACCTCCAACGAATACCTCTCGACCCCGGTAGAATAAATTATTAGGCTTAATGTCATTGTGCACAACATTTTTGGAGCTAAGATATTTTAATCCTTTGACCTGATTTTTTCGTTAAAAGTTAGAACGATATTTGTATATTTAAAAAAAATGTAATTTGTCCATACCGCTTGCAAAAAAACGTATAAAATGTCTACATCCGATAAACGACTTTTTTTCGGATTGTCCTCAGCATAATAGTCGCCCAATGTGCCTTCAAACAAAGACAATGCAATTGCATAGTGTTTTCCAAAGATTTTTCCATTAAAATAAACTCTGGGTATTTGATTATCTTCAATTTTGGGATCGTCTGCATTTAAAACCTTATAAATCTTCATTTCCTTGTTCATCGAATGTTCATCCCAAAATAATTTCACAGCAACATCGTGTTTATCATTATATTTACCTGCATTTCATAATAATCAAACGTTATCACAAGGACTTTGCATTTCTTTTTATTAGTATACCTCTCCAAACAAGCGAATGAGCTGATTCACCAAGCTCTTTTGTTCCTACAAGTGTTAGTTTGTGTTCACTGGAACGAGTCAGATTCGATACGCCGCCAAGTTCAAAATATTTAGTTACATATTGTGCAAGGAGCGATGGTATCAGTGCTCTCTCTCCTTTCTAAAAAAAAACAATCAATGTTACTATTGGTTATAAAATGAAAAAGGATCGAGTACTATCTGTCAAAATATTTCCCCCTATGCCAAGCGAAATTAATTCGATATACGGCGCTGATGTAAATGTCACTCTGTCATTTCACAATAATACTTTTTTGGCTTGACAATATATAAGCTCTTCATTTAAAATGCATACACATTCATAATTATTGAATCGTTGAAAAAAAAACATGTCATAAAATATTTTTCTAACATTTTTCATTAAAAAATTTATTAAAATTTTTTTTTTATAAAAAAATTAATTTGTTTATAAATTACAATAATTTCAACAAAAAATGTTTCATCGATTAAATAAGAATCCAATGTAAATAGTAATGACAATGCAACACCTACCGTAAAAATGCAAAAAGAAACTTAGTTGGTATCCATTGTAGCATTTTTGTCC